AAGTCATCCGCATGCGTACTATAACTACTATGACTGCTACGAACTACAAATACCGTGCAACCTGTGCATCTATCACCCTTATCTGCGCATGTCTCCGACTTTCCTACGATTACCTATGATTAAGGATTCTCGACAGAATCCGAAACGTCAGAAAAATAAAACTCTTGTTCCAGTGATCGGATCTTCTTCTTCCGAACTGCTTCCTGGAACTAGCATATTCTCCTCTATTGGAGATCTCACCTTTGGTATAGTTGTGATGAGGCCGCACCAAGAAAGAACCTTTGCCTTTTCACTCCTGAGTTATCCGGTCAGCTGGTAACCTTCTACGGCCCGATTTGTTGTTCATTACGCACTTCGAAGAAGCGGCAACCTAATTTTAGAAGCTTATTTCGCAAAGCCAGAAAATGTGTATAGTCGATCAAACACAGGGGAACGTGCTAAGGAAAGTACTTTGCTCATTTTCAGCGGTTACTTAGCACTTATCGGACTGAATTTAAACTCATCTACTAGATTAACATTGAAATGACCGTCAATCACTAGGTTCCAACACTTAGTCACGATTACTCATAGCTACATGAACACTAATCATTTTTCCTTATCCGCACTGCAACCGAAGTCAGTTCAGTCTAATTGCTCTTTGTTCGGCTCATTTCACTCTTTTCCATATAGTTACTTATAGTTCTAAATTTTGTTTAATCCTCGTAACGCACACCGCTAACGTTGGAACGTCTTTATTTTACTTGTACTCATCTTTGGTTTTAATCCCTACAGGATCCATATTCGGAGCCCTCGAAAGTCTGCCAGGCCGATCTTACAGCCGAACCAAGTATCTAGAACAGAAGACCATTCCTGATTGGTCGTTAATCTGGGAGACGGACACTACCGAGAATAGGGATTACATACACACACGTTAAGACAGCCTGACTTCGATAACTTTTTCACCGCACCTGGAAACTGGAGTATCCTGTGATTTCAAATGGTAGTGGGTTTCGCATCTCTGAATTACTGTTTGGGAGTCATTTCTGTCTGAACTATTTATAATTTGTCCACTTTGCAACTATCTTACAACCGCACCCATTTGAATCGTGCTCTTATTGTTCTTCTTTGGCGTTTTGGTGGTTTGGGCTGTGGGCTTCTGCAAATTAAATCCGTCATCACAAGTATTTGCCTCCTTTAAGTTGAAGCTGGGCTTGAAGTTGAGCTGGGGTAATTATTTTTGTCTATTCTTGGGACATTCCCAGTCGCACACGACATTCCATTTTACTACTGTTACTAAATGTAGAACCACAATGAAGGTCCGCATGCCATTCGTTGAGAACATCATGCAGCTTTGCTATTTTAGGAATTCGGAAGCGCGGACCATTAAGCTTGCTCACCGCAGTGCGCTAGATCTGTTTATTTGCGTTAAGGCTACTGAAATATTGCCAGTAGACAAGTTAACATAAATCAACCGTATCTCATATTCTGTTGCATAGATGTAATAGCTTGCTTTCAGAATAAGTACCAACAAGAACGATAGAGGCAATTTTAGTTATTTCCGGCTTACTAACAGTCGTACATTGAGCCACCCGCACCTGTGTTTGAGACGATAGTGAGTGGACTAGAAATAACCTTCCCGGTTGTCCTTGTCTTTGCCGGGACTCTGCATTATTGACGGTCCTTATGCGACTGTCTGTGAGAGTTCTAGACTGAGCCCAAAGGAAGTGCAATGAGCATGTTTTGTACTGTAATCAAAGCGAATAGCGTGTCTTTTCTAAGCACTAATTAAAATACCTTGATTATGTGAAAATGTGGATGCAGATACACTGACACACGCGATGCTATCAACTCCGTTAGGTGAACATGCGCCGAGATGGCCGATGAGAACCGAGAATAAGATATTGAGAAGTTCGATTAAGAGGCACTTGGTGGCTACTGGTCAGTCTCCTGCGCTATTCGGAGGTCGTGGCAATATGAGGGAGACAGTTGGGTCCCGTGATCGAACAAGCACTGTCGTGTTAGTGACCGGCGTGGAAGATAGATCTACTACACTATCTCGCCCCCTTTCTTTCGCATTACTGACTAGTGTTCTCTGTTATATGGCCTCTATCATGCTTGACAAGGCTTCCTTGAAAACAAAACTCACTCGTTTATACGCTTGCGCTCCTCCTCGCAGCATGCCCACCCCATTGTTCGAGCAGCATTTCCTGCTGTTTATGTACCTATCCCGTTGGATCATATCAGGCTGTTCTCCTTATTAAACAGTTTTATAAGTTTGTGGGGCAAAAGTAGTCTAAGTAGTGCACCTCACATACGCCTAGTCCCAGAATTTTGTCCTAAGGAAACGGTGTTTATAGGAGTATTGGGGTGGGAAAATAAGATAGGCAGTGAAGGAAATTTGTAGACGTAAGTGGAAGGTGGAAAATGCAGTTAAACTTGTTCTCCGCGGTCGCTGGGAGTAAGTTGTTCCGTATGTAACTTGAGGGTGTGCTCGGGGGTTTGCGCCATGGACTATACTAATCTAACTCCAGAACGGTAAGTTTGACCTCAGGTAAATTGAAATAGATGACCTCCTAACTATCATTTCTATTTTTTCGGGAATTTGAAGAAACCTTCATTTTGATAACCGGTTTTTTCCGCATTACGTCAAATGATAATACAAATAAGGAAAATCTACAGATATAAATCAAAAAAAATTTCTATATATAATATAATAAAAATGCATATAGCAGTTATTAAAGTATATTCCACTGCCTATCCTAATACAAAATACTGAGACTAGGAGTATATGAGGTGCACTACTTAAACTGCTGTTGCCAAACTGGCTTAGATCATGTCCCATTCATTCATCCCTTGGTTATCAGAGCATGAGCTGGTCGTTCCCGTTGTATAGTTGGGGCTATGTAGTTATTGAATATCTTTGAATAAATTCTCTCTTCATTTCGGAACTTTTTGCTGTGTTCATTGATCAGTTTACTGATTCTCCGTTTGTTTGACGTTTACATCAAACCCTTCAAAATAAGAAATAACTAAACAGCATTTACCGAAAAAAACGAGCTTTTGGATATTATTTACTATGCAGATGGTCATGTTGGTGAAATTTTGAAATGCTTCAAAACAGCAAAC